GCGGGGCCTGCTCTCCAGGTGCAGCGTGCGGGCTTCTCCTGCAGTGGGGCTCCGGCTCCAGGGCACCTGCGCTGCAGCAGCTGTGGTGAGGGGCTTAGTTGCTCTGCGGCGTGTGGGATCCTCCCAGACCAGGGGTCGAACCTGTGTCTCCTGCATTGGCAGGCAGATTCTGTACCCCTGAGCCACCAGGGGTGCTCGGTAAGGAATTTTAGAACGTGTGCTTATGAAGCTTTTAAGTTCCTAGTTACTCAGTTAGTAGTCACTGACTTTAGTCAATCAGTTCATAAGGCAGGAGTTTACCATGAGCCCAGATCAGCAGCAGGCATTTCTGGAGTATGTATTTTCCTTCTTTTTACGGTTATAGAGGGGGAGTGTCTTTCCAGTCACCTGAGAAGGGTTTCCTGGATCTATTTTGTGTATGTAGATTGAGGCTAGTTACCTAAGACTCAGAGTTGCTCTATTTATTGTACATGAATGAATAGCACCCTGGAGAAATTAAGAGTTGAACAACTGTGAGTATACATCTCAGTGGACTAGAGAAGATTGGCCTATGTTTTTCATGAGACAAGCCAATATCTAGAAGGAGAAGACAGTATGGCCAAATGGGGAATGATCCTGGGAAGTCCCTGGGGAGTGGGAGGAGTTGGCTGTGCCCTCGAGATAGTTTATAGTAGATTTGGATCAGAGAAGTCCTGAAAAAGATAACATTGAAAGTCATGCCTCAAACACAGCTCCTCACCTATTCTGTATTTCTAAACAGAGCTAAGTAAATATGTAAAAGGGGAAAAAAAGTTCCAGAACAAAACAGCATCATGTTTCAGACTGGCTATAATAATGAAAAGGTAAAGAACTTGGTCTCTGGAGTCAACTTTAGGTTAAGATTCTTCCACTTAGAGTAAACTGTTTTCCTTCTCTTTGAGACTTCATTTTCCTGTGTATAAGATAAATCATCTGATGTGCCTTTCTCATTGGGTTTTTGTGATGATGACGTAAGGTGGTAATCCGTGTGACGCATTGAGCAAAATGCCTGGTGCTAATAAATATTAGCTAATAGCAGTAGCAAAGCCAGAAGGTATGTGACCACTGTGCATAGATGACTGCCTCCCTCCCCCCCATTTAGCCCATTAAAAATGAGTAATCTCTTCTGATGTAATGTTGTAAACAGGCAGTTTTCATGTCTGTACCTTTAAAATACATCTTAAAACCTGGAAGTGCCCTAGAAATGCTTGTTCAAAGCAAATTAGAGTATACTTGGCCACGCATAGACTGCCTCTGTTAGGGAACAAAGGTACTGGCTACAGTGGTTGCTTCTGGAGAGGGGCCCTGAGTGCTGTGCCTAGCCGCTCAGTACGACTCTGCGACCCCATGGGCTGCAGCCCGCCAGGCTCCTCTGTCCATGGGGTTCTCCAGGCAAGAGTACCGGAGTGGGTTGCCATGCCCTCCTCCAGGGGATCTTCCCAACCCAGGGACTGAACCCAGGTCTCCCCGCTTTGCAGGCAGGTTCTTTACTATGTGAGCCACCAGGGAAGTGGTATTGGTTACAGGAATACATGACAGGGTGCTTCCTGACACCTGTGTATCTGGAGAACAGAGCCATCAGCTCCAGTCCACTTCCAGGATAAGAGACTGGGATGAGGTAGAAAGTAGTAACAGGCGTCTGTGGTTATTTGAAACTTAGAAACTGTACAGATTCAGAAAAATTTTGGCGCTATCCCTCTTGATAGCCACAGTCTAAATATTCACTCCCCAAATTTCAGGAGCCAAATAGATGTGGGTAGGAATTCATTGCTTTCATTTGAGGGCTGCTTCTGTGAATTGCATTGACCTGCCTCTGTCTCTGACTTACTGCTGATCTTGTGTAAATTTTCGTTTTTTAATATTTTAACTTTTTGGCCACATAGCATGGCATGTGGCATTGAACCTGTGTCCCCTGCATGAAAGCTTGAAGTCTTAACCGCTGGACCACTAGGGACATCCCCTTGGGTAAATTTCTTAGTCTAATTCTTCATTTGCCAATAGATAGAAATAGTAAGCCATATCCTTACGTGATGTGTAGAGTTGTTGTGGCATAAAATGAATTCATGAAAATTAACTCACTCTGGGCTTAGCCTTGTTAGATGAGAAGCTTACCTTGACTTCTTAGGAGAGAAGAAAAGAAGTGTTGTGATAAGCACATGCCCTGCTGGGTTGGGCTGCTTATGCAGCAATTCATTCTCAGAAGAGAGAAGTGCAAGGCAGTGGCTGTACTGCCGGCCCTTTATGTGATACTCCCTCCAGCGCCTCCCTCTGTGTGTTTTTCTTCGTAATGTTTGAGCCTCTGTTTCAAAAACTTAGGATTTGGACAGCTGGTTACTTCTCACTAACTTCCTCTTGAAATAGGAAGAAACATTTGAAAATAAAACCATCCACATATGCTTTAGTATTAATATTATTTATAAATTTCAGAACGTAGCATTCTTGAAGGCACGGATGGTATTTAGTACCTATGATATCATATATTTCATTTGGGTAATTAAATTCTTACGATCGAAGTAGTGTTTTAACTTCTGTGCACTGCTACAAACATATTAATTTCAAAAGATTGAGGATGCTTAAGTTATAATGAAGTCATAAATAATATTTTCTCCCTACATATTTTAAGAGAAAGGATATTTACATGAGCTGTCTTCCCATAAGATATTTACTAATTATAAAAGGAAATACAGTAATGGTGGAAAAAGTCTGGTAGACCCCATCCAAACTAAATGAATGATCAAAGTTAAGATCACTCATAGTGAGACTAAAAGGTATTTTGGACCTCCTGATAAGATGTATTTGAAAGGACACAGCATTGCTTTTTTGGTATTCTTGCTGAGTTACTAACACACAGCCCATTTGGGAGATATTTTATGAAACAAATGACCTTTATTCTTCCAAAGTGTCAAGATCATGAAAGGCAAACTGAAGAAGTGCTCCAGGTTAAAGGAGAAGAAAAGAATTGTTCTAAATTAGGGACGTTGTCGTGAAGAAACATGATATTTACCAAATGAAAGCTACGATCTTGATCTCAATTAAAAAAACTTTTTTTTAAAGACATTAGTGAGACAATTGGAGAAATTTAAGTAAATTTTATAGATTAAATAATAGTGCTGTATCAAGGTTACTTTCCTAATTTTGATAATTGTGCTACCTTTATATAAGATAATGATCATATAGTTAGAAAATATATGCTTAAGTGTTTAAGGTTAAAGGATCAATATGTTTTCCACTTTCAAATAAATCATAAAAACTACAGATATAGAAAGAGTAATATAGAAAGAGGATGATAAATGTGATGAAGTATTAATGTTTGAGGAATATGAATGAAGGTTGTAAGAGAATTCTACTTTTAAAGAGATTGTAGGAGAATGTGCTACTTTTACAACTTTTTAAAGTCTGAAGTTTTTTAATTTTTAAAGTAAAAGAGGTAGAAACTTAATGAGGTCTATCACTAATTGATTTTTTTTTAATCAATAGATTGTTTAATATGTATTAGTGGCTTAGGAGATGATGATTTGCAGAGAAACATTAATGTGAAGTATAATGAATAATACTCTCACCATATGACAAGGAGAGCAATATGAAAGAAGTTAATAAGTGTCTGCCTTTTTACTTTAAGAAGTAATTATTTTACAGACAGCTCTTATTATGTAGTATTGTGATTCATGTATACTTAGATAAGAGATTTCCCTGATGACTCAGTGGTAAAGAATTCACCTGCCAATGCAGGAGATGCAGGTTTGATCCCTGGGTGGGGAAGATCCCCTGGAGAAGGAAGTGGCAACCCGCTCCAGCATTCTTGCCTGGGAAATCTCTAGGACAAAGCAGCCTGGCAGCCTACAGTCCATGGAGTTGCAAGAGTCAGGCACGACTTAGCAACTAACAACAACAAAATACTTAGAAAGCATTTTTCATTTGGTTTTCACTTTAACGTTGAGTTTTTTTCGTGACTAACTGATATTTGAGTAGGCTATTAAAAAGTATCTCTGGGTCAGTTTCCTCATCTGTGAAAGGAAATGTCTGGACTAGAGCTCTTTCGGTTCTCAGATTCCCTGATCTTATGACCGAACAGAAAGTGAAAGTTAATTTTCCTGTTTGAATCAAAAGCAGTTGTTAAACACGGCCTGTGTGCCAAGTGACGATGTAATATTTACTAAGCTCACAGATCTTTTTCTGTCCAAGAAACCTTGGTTGAGGTTTTATTTATTTGTATGCTTATTCATATGCCACTTATTATTCATGATACTAGTTTTTGTTTTTAGTTTAGTTGACTTTAAAAACATACTTTATAGAAATTCTTTGTGAAAACTTGGCTATTGAAACCCAAAATTGGATAGTTAGGGAGTTAGAGATGGACATGTACACTTTGCAATATTTATTTATTTATTTTTAAAATTTATTTGACTGCACTGAGTCCTGGTTACTGCGCATGGGATCTTTCTTTTTCTTTCTTTTTTCATTTTTGTTGCTGCACCGCGTCTTCGTTGCTGCGTGCAGGACTTCTCTAGTTGTGGCAAATGGGGCCTCCTCTCCGGTGCAGTGTCCGGGCTTCTCACTGCAGTGGCTTCTCTTGTTCCAGAGCACAGGCTGTAGATCACACGGGCTCCGTAGTTACGATGCATGGGCTTAGCTGCTCCACAGCATGTGGAATCTGCCTGGAGCAGGGATCAAAGCCACGTCACCTGCAGTGGCGGGCGAAACGGAGCCGCCGGGGAAGTTCTCCGCTGTGTTTAAAGTGGATAGCCAGCAAGGACCTGCTGCAAAGCACGGGGAACTGCTCAGTGTTATGTGCAGCCTGGACCTGAAGTGGAGTAATGAAAGTTTTATTTGGTTATAGTAGATCTATATTCTCTGTAGCCTAGGATTGTCAAGATACAAGTAGCTGATGCTGTGAAAACTAAATTGCTGTCCAGCATAAAACAGTTTGGGATGTATTTAACAAAGCAGAACTTGGCTATCTTTTTTTCCCCTTGCCCTCCCAGCTTGGTGATCCAGCTATTTTCCCCGCCGTCATTGTGGAGCACGTTCCTGGTGCTGATATTCTCAACAGCTACGCAGGTCTGGCCTGTGTGGAGGAGCCCAACGACATGATCACCGAGAGCTCCCTGGACGTCGCCGAGGAGGAGATCATCGACGAGGATGAGGACGACATCAGCCTCACAGGTCTGTGCGCCCCCGGCAGCGTCATCATAGGCATGACGCGGCTCCTCTCTTCGCAGGTAGCTCAGACGGTAAAGCATCTGTCTTCAATGTGGGAGACCAGGGTTCGAACCCTGGGTCGGGAAGATCCCCTGGAGAAGGAAATAGCAACCCACTCCAGTACTCTTGCCTGGAAAACCCCATGAATGGAGGAGGCTGGTAGGCTACAGTCCATGGGGTCGCAAAGAGTCGGACACGACTGAGCGAGTTCACTTTCTTTTCTTTCTTTCTCTGTGATTCGGGGGCTGGGAGAACGTTCCCGACTCGGTTCCGAGTAGCGTCATTGGTGGCAGAAGCTAGAGCCCCGCAGGGAGGAGGAAGTGCCGTGTCCTTCCGGTCTGCCTGAGGTTCACAGCACCCGCTCACCTGCCCTTCTTTCCTGAGTAGATGGAGGCGAGCGCGACACGGTAGGAGGCGTGTGAGAGGAGCCCAGCCAGCCCGTTCACCAGGCCTGCACTGAGCACTGTGCGCCTCGCTCCGCACTCCTGGTGACGGCGAGAGGCTGCCTGTAGGGCGAGATAGGGATGCTCTTTGGTTACTGCTGCTGCGGAAGGCAGAATAGGAGGCCGTGACCCAAATGTAGGGGAAGGTGCTGGGGTTTCAGCAAGATTTCTTCAGTCAGAACTAGTAGGATATTTCAAACCAAGGAGTTCACTGCATAAGTGTTGAGGTGGTGCTTTTCTCATCAGTTTTGGAAACTGATGCATGCGTTTTTATTTTTATACACTTAAACTTTCCTGTATCTTGGCCAGAGATGTTGGAGGTGTTTGAGAAAATAAATTATTTGGAAGTAAAGATTATTTGAATATTTATTATTAATTTAAAAACCAGAAATTAACATTTTTCACAGTATTATCAACTAAACCTGGCCTTTATTTGTATTCTACGCATTTCACACTAATGCCCTTTTTCTGTTCCAGGAACGTATCTAGAATCTCACACTGCAATTAGTTGGTAGTCATTTTTTCCTAGGCACTTCCAATCTGTGATGGTTCCTTTGTCTTTCTTTGTCTCTCATAACCTTGACACTTTTGAGGAGTACTGGGTCAGACATTGTAGAATGTCCCTCAGTTTTATTTCTGTGATGTTTTTCATGATGGAATGTGATAATGCATTTTGGAGCAAGAATACCACCAAAATGGCGTTGTCTACTTCTTATTGTATCATATTAACATAGTAGACCTTTGTAAAAGTACGTTATCTCACTTAATTTTCAGCAGAAAAAGAAATGAAATTAAAGAAGTTCAGTGACTTGCCTAATGTCACACATCAAGTGACTGCGCCCTCACTGATAACATTGACCAGCAGCACTTAAGTTTTGTATTGTCCTCTTATATTTTGCAAAGCATGTTCTCATATAATCACATCTTTGTTCAGAGCAGCTCAATGAAAGTTTTTAATGAATCCAGACTTGTCTTTCCCTTATCAATAAGGGAATTAGATGACTTAAATTAGAGGTTTCTACTCATCGCTGACTGTGATCCTTGTGTTTTGTATAACAGAGTGACCACCTCTGTGCATATATAGATGTGTGGTGTAGCTAATGGGGTTTTTGCAGTGTGTTCTGATCTACTTTCTTGATGCATTAGGGTGAGGCCACACACTCTGTGGGTTGGGAACCAGAGTCTTCCCTGAGGCAGTGTTTATTCCTGGTTTTAGCAGCCAAGGAAGATACTGGTCCTCAGAGGAGAAATAGAGACTAGGAAAGCAGATCCTGTATCTTTAGGAGAAGGAATCATTTCTTCCTTTCAGTGCTTCACTCTTGGGCTTAGACTTGAAGACTGCTGATGATGAGATGCAGACAAGTGCCCTCCTTCTTAGAGAATAGAATAGATCCAGAAAATAAGCCATAAAAATTTGACAGATTTGCTGTTTTCGTGTTTCTTCTCTCTTATCTTTCTTATCTTCCAACCCAAGCCTCTGTTTAACTCTTCCATACTTGTCTGAGTCAGGTCATGAGAAATGAAGGGATATTATAGCCCCGCTTAGTCTAGAGTGGGGGAGGGGAGAGTACCATGCTTTTAAGAGGCTGCAGGGCTGGTGGTGATGGGATAGAGCAGTTTATAAGCTGTAATTATGAGACCTAGGTAGCACTTCCGATGATAAAGAATGTTGTTAACGTTTTTAGGTATGGTAATAGCATTGTGTTGGACTCTTTATCTTTCAGATATATATGCTCAAATACTTAGAGATAAAATATGCTGTCAGAGATTCATTCAGAAAAATCCTGAAGGTCACAGTGTGTGGGGAAGGGGTCCTTGGGCAGTAAGTGGAAGATGTATGAGATGAAAGACAATTGACTATGTTCTGATAATGATGGATGCTGAGAATGGGTATGTGAGAATTCATTTTACTGTGTCCCATAATTTTGGTTGTTTGAAATTTTCAATAATAAAAAGATCAAACTGTTTTCATGGATGTGAAACTTACCTTAGGTGGCCACTGTCATCTATAATCCCTGATTTCAAATTTTCCTGTTCATAAACACTGTTTTAACCTATGAAATGTACAGTGTTAAAATACCACTTTAATATGTTTATATGTTGGGGTTTTATATAAAATTTCCTTTGAAACAAGGTTGTGTTGTTAAAATTTTTTGAAAAGCATTTGACTAAGAACTCCGATGTGGAACTTCTTCTTTACCAGTCTTGAGGATCTGAAAGTGAAATTATTAAAGGAGATGGACCCCTTTAGACCCATCAGCCCAGCTGCCCTGGGATCCAGCCGCATTCACCAGTGGGTCAACACCAGTTAGGGGACACACAACCCTGGACCCACAACCAGCTGTGTCAGGAACTGGCCCTGCCTCTAGCAGGTTAACACTAGATCTGGGGCCCCAGGCCCCACACCTCCCCACTCTAGAACCTGACTCTGCCCATTTGTGAGCCAGCACTAGCCCTGGGACCACCTGGGGTCTCTGGCAGCTTCTGTGCAAGGCTGGTCCTGGCAGCCCACCCTGCACCAGCCACAACTGCCAGTTCACCCACACCAGCTAGCCTGTCACAAGAGAAGGAGCCACACGGTCCCCTTGGGGGCGCCCCAGAGCTCATAGCGCTGGTGACCAGGGGAGAGCTGGGCTGGGAGGCCCAGGAGGTCTCCTACGAAAGACCACTCCTCCAAGATCGGGAAATGCAACCAGCCCACCAGATACGCAGAGATAAAAAGAGCAAGTTAGACGGGACGAGGTGACAGAGAAGTAATCTTCTAAATGAAGATGAGACCCCAGAAGAACAACTGAGTCAAGTGGAGACTGGTGATCTACCGTACAGAGAGCTCACGGTAATGATTGTAGACATGTTCAAGGAACTCTGGTGAGGAACGGATGATAGAGCAGGAAGTTAGAAGTTTTTACCAGAGTTAGAAAATGTAAAGACCGACCAAACAGAGAGCAAGAATACAAGAACTGAAATGAAAATGTGCTAGAAGGAATCAACAGTAGATTAAATGATACAGAGGACTGGATCAGGAAGCTGGAAACAGTGTTGGAAATCACTGAAGCTGAATGGAAAAAGGAAAAATGGTAAAAAGAAATGAAGACAGTTTAAGAGACCTGTCAGACAACATCATGTGTACTAATATTTGTATTATATGGGTCCCAGAGGAGAAGAGAGAGAAAGGGGCAGAGAACATATTTGAAGACATAATAACTGAAAGCTTTCCTAATCTGGGAAAGAACACAGACATCCAGGTCCAGGAAGCAGAGAGAGTCCCAAACAAGATCAACCCAAGAAGGACCACACCAAGACACACTTTAATTAAAGTGGCAAAAATTAAAGATAAAACAAGGATTTTAAAAGCAGCAAGGGCAAAGCAATAAGTTACAATCAAGAGGACCTGAAAAGGCTACGAGGTGACTTTTCAGCAGAAACCCTGCAGAACAGAAGGGAATGGTTCCTTATATTTAAAGTGCTGAAATGGAAAAATCTACAACCAAGAACACTCTACCCAGCAAGGTTTTCATTCACATTTGGTGGTGAGATCAAGTTTTACAGACAAGCAAAAAAAGCTAAAAGAGTTCTGCACCCACAAAGCAACTTTATAGGAAATGTTACAGGGACTTTTCTAACTGAAAAAGAAAAGGCCACAACTTGAAACATGAAAATCATGAAAGGAAGGCAAAGAGTAAATTAGCCATGTAGAAGGGTTAAAAGACAAGCATAGTGAAATCATCTGTATCCATAATAATTGTAGTTGAGATACACAGAACAAAAATATGTATAGCATGATGTCAAAAAACAGTAAACATGGAGTTGGAGAGTAAAAATGCAGGGTTGTCCATGGCTGATTCATGTCAATGTATGGCAAAAACCACTACAATATTGTAATTAGCCTCCAATTAAAATAAATTAATTTTACAAATGCAGAGTTGTTAAAATACGTTTAAACTTAAGTGATGAATAGCTTTATGTGTGTGTGTGTATATATATATATGTATTACTTTGTACAGTGTGGGGAGTATAGTAAATAACTGTGTAGTGTCTTAGTATGGTAACATTTCATAACTGGACATGGTAGTGATCATTTTGAAATGTATAGAAATACCCAGTCACCATGTTGAGGAAGTAACAGTGTTGTAGGTCAGGTGTACTTTGAAAACAAGTAAACAGACTCACAGAAAATGAGATCAAATTTGTGGTTACCAGAGGTAGGGAGAGAGGGGAATGAGAATTGGACAAAGGTCAAAAGGCACACACGTTCATTTAGAAGATAAAAAAAGTACTAGAGATATAACATACAATATGATTACATTTATCATATCATTTATTTACTTACATTTAGTAACACTGAGGCATGTTATGTATAAAAATTAAGAGTACTTCTTCAGTTCTCATCCCAAGAAAAGTTTTTCTGTGTCCTTAATTTTATATCTATGTGAAATGATGGGTATTCACTAAACTTATTGTGATAATCATTTCATGATTGAAATGATCAAATCCTTATGCTGTACACCATAAACTCACACAATGCTGCATGTCAATTATATCTCAGTAAAACTGGAAGGAAAAAAAAAGCTTGTGGGTTTTACTGTTGCCTACAAGAAATTATTTTATATCTTATAAAATATAATATAAATATAAATTATTTATATAATCCATTTAATGATGGGAAAACATTTTTTCTGTATTTTTAAAAGCTTACTTGTACTTCTTTTTTGATTTTCATTCCTGTTTTATGTAGGACTCACCAATTTATTTTACATTTCCTGCCCTGAGCACTGAGGCTGAGGGTAATAAACTTTTACAAATTAGATCACTGGTATTAAATTTGCTCTATGTTTTTTGAAATTCAAAAGGTAGTTTGATTTCTGTATATAGCTGTGGAATGATTTGTAGTGTATATGAAGTTTAAAAAGCAAGGGTCAGTACAGCATGAATAGTTATTTATTATTTAAGATAAGGGAGAGAGTAAAAATGATACATATGTGTTTGCTTATATCTAAACATAGAAACATAAACTAGAAACTAATAAAAATCTTTTAAACTCAGTGGTCACTTTTGAAAGATCCCATTTTTTACTCTGAAAACTAGTGAATAACAGAAAAAGACCCAAGCATTTAATTTGCCTTTATTGTATAAACCGTGGCTCAGGGTAACCAGATAGTTGATGACAGCAAGTTCTTCTTTGTAGAGAATTCTAGCTAATAAATGGGAGAGGAATGATAAGATTATGATTATCACCGTTTTGGAATCCCTAATGAACTCCTGGATCTAGGCAAACTGTCATCAATAACTGCTAAAGCCTTTAGATGAAAGGCTGTTGGAAAATTTAATGATAACTGGATCAGGCTGACAACACTTGAAACTGATTCTCAGTCTAGCAGTACTGAAGAAAGACAACCTACTTTCAAAAAGCACATAGAATCACACAGCATCACCTTCAAGTACTCTTGCCGAAAAACTGAATGTGAATCAAGTCAGTCTTGTAGAAATATCTACCAGTTTACAGGAAATACATGGGGGAGGGCTGTGGTAAGTGGCACCACAGAGATATAATCAGCACAATCTAAAATGTGGGAAACTACAAACAGATTGACCCTGTTTCTCTTAAGATAAACAGCAAAACAGAAAAAATAGGAAGGAGGGTGTATGCCACCAAGTGTAATGCATGAAATTTGTTTGAAATCTGTTGTGAACAAGCCAACTTTAAAAAAAAATCTGAGATAGAGAAATTTCATTATTAAATGGATATCTGATTTAATGAATAATTAATTTGTAAAAGATGTGACCATGGCATTGTCTGTATACTATAATATTTACAATGAATGACAGGCTGTCTGAGGTTCACTTTGAAATAATCTTGTGTCTTTTTTGAGCTGGGGAGTATAGATTAAGGAAAATTGATTTTAAATATTGAAACTGGGCCCTTGATACATTCAGTTCATTGTATGATTTCCTCTACTTTTGTGTATGTTTGATATTTCACATTATAAAAGCTTGACAAAGAAGTAATTTGAAATTCTCCTTGTAATATTTTCTTAATTGCTATGTAATTAAATAGTTATACATACTAATTTTTATCATTTTCATCTACCTAGCAGAACTTTAAAATATTTATAAAGCTTATATAAATGAATAGCTAGAGTTATATAAATGTTTAGAAGATGGTAATTGATTATTGACTTATCTGTGCCTTACTTGCTTGATTTTTTAGAAAAAATTAGTTTTAATGGGATATTTCCTTCAATTCATGGAATTCCAGAGCTTTGACAGAAGAGTAATCTGCTTTTCTACTATGCTGTAAATCTACAAGATTTCAAATAGAAGGCTTAAGTTTTTAATAGGAAGTGTTATACAGTGCTCTGTTTTAATAACTTTACTAGGCTTTTTGAAGTATTTATCTTTTCTGGTTTTAACTATTATGGAGGAACTGGATCTTAGTTCCCCAATTGGGGATTGAACCTGGGCCCCCGCAGTGGAAGGGCAGAGTCCTCATCCCTGGACCACCAGGAAGTTCCCAAACCTGTGTTTTTTAGAACAACAGATGTCTGTGCTAATTCTGTTCTCTGTTTAAATGTGTTGTAGTCGAAGCTTCCTGTCGTAACGGGGACGAAACAATCGAGACCATTGAGGCTGCTGAGGCACTCCTGAACATGGACTCTCCCGGCCCCATGCTGGGTGAGAAGCGCATGAGTGAGTGTCACGTCTGCTCACGCTCTTACGCTTGTTTAATTTTTAAAGTGTAGTTGATTTATAATGTGTTTATTTCTGCTGTACAGCAGAGGGACTCAGTAACACACATACATATACGTACATTCTTTTTCATATTCTTGTCTGTTATGGTTTATCACAGGATGTTGGGTATAGTTTCCTATGCTCTATAGTAGCACTATGGCTATATGCTTTGAAAAACTTTTCCTGTCGTCTCTCTGTTTTAGATGATAAACATCAAGAGACCAGAGTCACGTTTTATTTTTTTAGCATCCTAAGTGCATTTTAAGGTACAGTACTGGTTGAGGTATCTTTATTAAAGTGTTCAAACAGGATTTTTTTTTTTTGGTTTTGGGGATTGAGGCTTTTGGGATTAAAAGGTTATTTTGGTTTTCCCGGGGTTGTTGCGGGTTTTTTTTTTACCTTCTTTGTTGAGTTTTTGTTTTTTTTGGGTTCCAACCATTTAAATTTTAGTGATTTCTGTCATTATTCATCAGTGAATAGGCAAAAATCCATTGAAATGTTTTCTAAGACTTCATGGCATAAAATTTACTACCACATTTATTGATTTGCTTTTAAATCCATGTTCTCCTTTGGACTTTTCTGACAAGAAAGTGGTCAGACTTATAAAATGAGTTATTATTAAATCAATTTAAGACGTTTATTGAGGGTTTTCTATATGCATAGCAATGCATTAGGCAATAACATGATATAGAAATGAATAGATTTTGTTTCTTTCCTCAAGCTTCCAGTTTTCTTTTGAAGATAGTTATTTATGTAAATAACTGTAAAAGCCAAAAATAAAGGCCAAAAGAGGGATAACAGAGTATTCTGGAAGGAGAGATTTCTCTAGCTGAAAATACTGGTGACTGACTTTTTGGAAGGAATGTTTTGACCTGGGCTGTTAGTGACAAATAAGCTTTTCATGAGTAGAAGAAGGCAGGAAAGGGCATTCAAGGCAGACGGGGTCCATTGAATCAACGACATAGATCTGTGAAAGAACGAGAGGTATAAGCTTCAAATGTTTTGGTATAATTAAAGTAATGTTTCACAATGGGTTACATATTGTGGATGTTCAAAATGGTATGCTATGGAGTTTGATTGTTCTTATCTTTTTTCCACCTGTAAACAATGAGAAGGTATGTCAGTTTTATTCTTCTTTCTAATTTTCACTCTGTAAAGTTTTTATAGATATGGTCAGATCAGACTTAGGTATTGGAGAAAAACTTCAGCAGCAATGCGAAAAATGCAGAAGAGAGACAGGATGGACTGGGGATAGGAAGTCAAGTCAGGAAGACATTGAATGGTCCAGTCAAGCCTGGACTGATCCAGCGAACTTGACTTAGGGCAGATGAAGTAAAAACCAGGGGCTAGATTCAAGATTTCATTTCTCCTTTAATCTTCAAAGAAATAGGAAATATTTTATGAAATTATTTTGATTTATAATACAAAGTTGCTTTTATTCCCATTAGATAATAATATATTTAGTTCCTCTGAAGATGACATTGTTGTTGCCCCAGTCACCCATGTATCCGTCACACTAGATGGGATTCCTGAAGTGATGGAAACTCAGCACGTCCAAGAGACATATGCACACTCACCAGGACCCTCATCACCAGAGCAACCTAAGAGAAAGAAAGGTAGGTGGGTAATCTGGACTGTTCCACAGTCCACTCTTGATGTGGAATCTAAAGGTAGCTTTTATTCAAGGATATTTCTACACCAATCAAAACTTCTGTAAGATAAAATTGGTATAAAACAAATTGAGTTATTTCTTCTTATTAGATTCATTTTTTAAGAATTATACTTTTAAAATATTTGGACTGTCTTCTGGAAAAGGGATTTTTCCCAACTTTTTAAGCCTCAGTCTTGTATCTAAAGCCTTTTATCCAAGCTCCAAAAGAGCTCAGGGATAAGACCAGTTCAGTTTTCTCCTGGAGAACATAGTTTGATAACCACCAGCATAGATTCTCATAAAGATTCCAGTGGGAAGAAGACAAGTGGTAAATCAGCAGGTAAGTAATTGAAGAGGATACAACGTGCAGAGGGAATTTTAAAGTGTTCACAAATTAGAACCATACTTAACATCCTAACACTGACACGTTTCCCTTTCTTTGCCTTTTGATTCTGCTCCAGCTTGTTTAATATGTTGAGTTTAATATCTTGGTTTATGGCATCACCAGCCACTGTGTAACCTAATTTCACTTGAAATTAAGACAAGTTTCAAGAGTCAAAGGTGAAGGGGACAATAACGACAGTAAGAATGAGCTGACACTGCAACAGCTCTGAAGGGCTGAGAAGAATATGTCAGTCTGGAAGTCCAGGGGACTTGGTTTTATATTCCAAGTAGAGGCACATGCTAAAGTCTTGGTCCAAAGCAAAATGGATATTAGAGAACTCAGCATATAATTCATGGGGTCCTTGGAAGGCTGTACCCTAAGGGGAAAAACAATCCACCCATTGGCACAGACAGATGTTAAGGAAATTTGTATTTTGTAGCTGAGTGGAAAAATTGTTCTTTTGAGAATTCATAATCCTAGGTTTACCTTAACCTAGGTTTATGACTAGATTTTAAATTATCACTGACTTCAGGAATGTCCAGCCAAGTATGTCCACATAAGAAAGATACCTCTTGAATGAGGAGCAGCAGACATAGGGAATTCTGGTTTCCCCCACTGGCTGCTCTCAGGAGCTGTCTTTGTGCTGTCGCCGCGTCTGGCTCCTCGCGCGCTCAGCCACCTCCAGCCCTGCCTCCACTGTGGACTCCGGCAGCTTCATCGCCAGAGTGCTCGCCCTCCTGCTCTCTTTCCAGTTTGCTGCATGATTTCACGGGCCCCATCGTGCCAGTGCAGCCGTGGGCACCAGCTCCAGGATCACTGCCAAGGACTTCAAGAAGCTGTGGGGGAGACGGGGAACGGGAGCGAGGACCTGCTAATGGGAATGCTGAGAATGAGGAAGATGGGGAACAGGAGGCTGACAGTGCGGTGGGTGAAGAAGAGGAAGGAGTTGGGGAGGGAGAGGAGGAGGAAGGTGATGGTGGGGAAGAGGGTGGCGATGAAGATGAGGCGTCTGAGGCAGCTGTGGGCAAAGCAGCAGCTGAAGTTGATGGGGATGCTGACACTGACGCAAAAACGCGGAAGATGGATGAGGATGACTAGACAGCGAGAAAGGAGAAGTTAAGCTTACAGAAAAGGCTGCTGTAGCCCATCCAGCCTCCCCTTGGCGTCTCGGAACCTAACGGTCAGGTGGAGCCCGGCCTGCCCGCCGCCTGCAGGTGCCACGTGCTCCCCACTGTGGAGCCAGAGCCGCACAACCTGAACTTGCAACTGGAGAGGGAAAAGGAACCAAAACTCCCAAGGCCCAGGGTTGTTCTCTTAAAGTACTTTTGAAAGGGAAATTTGTGTTTTATATTTACATTTTATATTTTTGTACATATTGTAGGGATCAGCCATTTTTAGTGATCTCGGATGAGCAAACCAGTCTTCCCAGCATTCTCTCTCCTACTTCTGACTTTCCTTGTGGTGTGACCATGTTCATTATAATCTCAAAGGAGAAAGAAAATGTTGTTAAAAAGAAAAAAACTACAAAAAAAAATCAATCTTATTTCGAGCATGCCAGTAACCCTTTTTGTGCATGTACATAGCTGTACCATAAGTACCTGGTTTTTATGACCAGGTTATGTTAAAGTTAACCAGGTTAACTTTTATGGTTAAAAAGGCCAGTGATAAAAGTTTTCTTTTTTTTCCTTGACTATGAAGTTGTGGTTTATTACTATTACTATTATTTTGGCCTGCTTGATGTGTGTGTGAAACACTGTTGTCCAGCAATAAACTAGAATTCAAAAAAAATAAATCCTAAGGTTAGTTCACTATGAACCTCAGATAATAGAATTATCAAATAGAAACTTCCAATGAATATGATTATAATTATTAATGCAAAAGAATAGAAAATATGGTCAAAGAATGAGACTATTAAAAAATAGCAGGTGAAACTTCCTTCTCTAGTCAAGATGGAGTAATAGCACCTGATGTAGCAACCGTTTTTTGGATATGATACCAAAAGCACAAGCTTTACAAAGGCTAAGATTAATAAGTGGAACTACAATAAACTCAAGAGTCTCTGCACAGCAAAAGAAACTGTCAGCAAAATGAAAATGCAACCTGCAGAATGGGAGAAAATATTTGTAAATCATGGATTGGATAAGGGGTTAATATCCAAAATATATAAGCAACTCATATAACACAATAGGAAAAAAAAATCCAATTAAAGAATGGGCAGAGAACCTGAATAGACATTTTTCTGAAGAAGACATATAAACAGCCAACATGTACAAGCAAAGATGCTAAATATCACTAGTCATCAGGGCAGTATAAATCAAAACCACAGTTAAGATAGCTCTTCACACCATAAGATAGCTAGAAAAAAATCAAGAGTCAGTTATTTGGTAGGAGGGGGATTGGGACATTGAACTGCTTTTAAATGATGTGAGGAAACTCTCTCTTCACCCTATTTTTCCACTTCTCTGGTGCTTTGAAACTCTTTCCTAGGGAGGCTGAGAGCTGGGGTGCATTCTCGAGCTACTTTTTGAGGCTGGCATTTTGAAATACACTGGAAATCTATCTCACCTCTGAATCATTTGTTGGGTCTCATCATGGAGGGGGGTGGGGTGGAGAGTATGCCGTATCTCACATTGTGTTGTATACCTTAAACTTATACAATATGTCAGTTATATAGCAATAAAACTGGAAAAAATAAAAACAGAACCCAGATTTACCCTCCTGTTTGAAACAACTGCAACCACAAACAAAATATCTGAAGCAGTGGTTCTAAAGAAAGTGAACATCAGTCAACAAAAGCCAGCGATCCCTGGAAAATAGGAAACCAATGAGGTGTGATTACCCCACCTTCCTGCGTGGAGAAGATAGTTTTTGGCAAACAGTATGACAGTTCCTTAAGAAACTTCATGTATACTTAACACATGACCCAGCCATTCTGCTACTCGGTATTTACCCAGAAGAAGTGAAACTGTACATTTAAGAGAAAAACTTATTCATGAATGAATGTTCTTAGCAGCTTTATCTGCAACAGCCCCAAACTGGAAATGACCCAGTCCGTCAGCTGCTGATTGGATTAAACATGTGGTAATATCCATACGATGAAAGACCATTCAGCAAGAAAATGGTACATAAGACAAAAATGGATGAACCTCAAAATAATTATACTAGGGGAAAAGAGCCAGATTCCCACCCCCCTGCCATAAAAGAAGAGTATGTTTCTGTTTATATGAAATTGTACAAAGTGTAAATTAATCTATAATGATAGAAAATGAGTGGTTGGTTACCTGTGGATTGGGCAGGGTGGGGAAAGTGAGGATTACAAACGCACTTTAGGGAGTGAAGATATGTTCATTATCTTGAGTGATGGTTTCACAGGTGTACACATATGTCAAAACTTATCAGATTATAAACTTTAAGCATAAGCAGGTTTACTGTATGTCAGTTATACCTCAATAAAGCTGTTTTTAGAAAGTAAAAGACTAATATCCTACTTAATGGTGAAAGACTGACATGATAAGGAACCAGATAGGACACATAATATATGGGTTAAATAGCAAATGAGTCACTGCTGAAGAGAGAATCAGTGAGCTCCAATCTAGAGCTGATGTAGAGTAAAAGATAATAGAAGAGTTAGAGATGTGAGGATTGCTTGAGAAGATCTACACGTTTAATCAGAGCTCCAGGAAGGGAGAATGTGTAGAGTGAGGAAGAAGCAATATTCAAAGATGACTGAGAAATTTTCCAGAATGATGTTAATCCCAGCATAGTGACTCCTGAGTAGCATAAGTAAAACAGATGCAGGCTGAAATAGATTATGCTAAAAAATGTGGAACATCAAAGACTCCTTGCAACCCACAGCCAAAACAAGAGAAAAAAAAAAGAAGAAATGGACCAGTCAGGGAGAAACTGCATTACCTGATGAGGATTGATTATTGAATTGGCTGCAAGCTCCCACGAAAGGCTGAAAGGGCTGGATATGTTCAACGTATCAGGAGAAATAACTTCACAAAATTTATATACCCAATTAACCTATAGTTCATGTGACGCTGTGTGCATCGTCACCATGAACAGTGAGGAAGATGATGGAGAGGATGGATGCTGGGTATGCTACTGACAGTATCTGCCGTGACTGACACTAGTGGAGTAAAACAGTGGGATAAAAACAGTACTATCGGGACTTCCCTGCTGGTCCAGTGGCTAAGACTCTGAGCTCCCGATGCAGGGGACCCAGACTCTGTCCCTGGTCAGGAATCTAGATCCCACATGCGGCAACTAAAGTTCCTGCATTTGCAGTGAAGATCAAAGATCCCGCATGCCGCGACTGATCCAGCACAGCCAAATAAAGAAATTTTTTAAAAAAGAGAAAAATGAGAGAAAATAAAACAGTCAGAAGGATAGCAGCTGACTGAAGTCTGGCTTCTAATCCTCACAGTCATAAACACAGTTAGCTAGAAATCTCTGTAGGTTCTCTGCAGATGTCTGCAGTGATGGAGGTTGAGGCACCAAGCTGCCTGTTTTCCATGTGTATACATCTGGTAGTCTCAGGAGGGGCCAGGCCTGAAGATGACTCTTTTGACTCTCTTCTCCTCATAGCCCAGTTGGTAAAGAATTCGCCTGCAATGCAGGAGACCCCAGTTTGATTCCTGGGTTGGGAAGATCTCCTGGAGAAAAGATAGGCTTCCTTTGTAGCTCAGCTGGTAAAGAATCCGCCTGCAGTGTGGGAGACCTGGGTTTGATCTCTGGATTGGGAAGATCCCCTGGAGAAGGGAAAGGTTACCCACTCCAGTATTCTGGCCTGGAGAATTCCATATGGATCACAAAGAGTCTGACACGACTGAGTGACTTTCACTTTCACTTTTCACTTCCCTTGACTCTTACTCACCTTAACTTCAGAAGTGTTTTCCTATTCAGTTTGTCTTGGGATGTGTTGCTATTAACAGACTGATTCCAGATTGGGAAAGGAGTACATCAAGGCTGTATATTGTCACCCTGCTTATTTAACTTATATGCAGAGTACATCATGTGAAATGCTGGGCTGGATGAAGCATAAACTGGAAACAAGATTGCCAGGAGAAATATCAATAACCTCAGATATGCAGATGACACCACCCTTATGGCACAAAGTGGAGAGGAACTAAGGAGCCTCTTGATGAAAGTGAAAGAGGAGAGTGAAAAAGTTGGCTTAAAACTCAACATTCAGAAAACTAAAATCATGGCATTCAGTCCCATTACTTCATAGCAAATAGATGGGGAAACAATGGAAACAGTGAGAGACTTTATTTCTGGGGTTCCAAAATCACTGCAGATTGTGACTGCAGCCATGAAATTGAAAGATGCTTGCTCCTTGGAAGAAAAGTTATGACCAACCTAGACAGCATATTAAAAAGCAGAGACATTCCTTTGCTGACAAAAGTCTGTCTATTCAAAGACTATGGTTTTTCCAGTAGTCATATATGGATGTGATAGTTGAACCATAAGGAAAGCTGAGTGCCAAAGAATTGATGCTTTTGAACTATGGTGTTGGAGAAGACTCTTGAGAGTCCCTTGGACTGCAAGGAGATCCAATCAGTCCATCCTAAAGAAAATCAGTCCTGAATATTCATTGGAAGGACTGATGCTGAAGCTGAAACTCCAATACTTTGGCCACCTGGTGTAAAGAACTGACTCATTGGAAAAGACCCTGATGCTGGTAAAGATTGAAGGCAGGAGGAGAAAGGGATGACAGAGGATGAGATGGTTGGATGGCATCACTGACTCGATGGACATGAGTTTGAGCAAGCTCCAGGAGTTGGTGATGGACAGAGAGGCCTTGCCTGCTGCAGTCCATGGGATCGCAAAGAGTCAGACAGGACTGAACAACTGAACTTGTCTTGTGTTGCTACTAACCTTGTGACTTTAGCCCTAGAATTCTTCTTTTTTAAGTTACTTCCCTAAATTACCTCAGCATTTGCCCTTGTGATCTAGATCAGAGAGTCAAATTCAAGAACATTGTGGTTAGAAATACTGACTGAAGTATCCATTTACGCTTAATCTCCATTGTCTCTCTCATGCAGGGTAGTAGTCTGTTCAGACAGCATCATTGCCCCAACCTAAGTCATAGGCAGCATTGCTGCCAGGTTATGGCTCTAGATAAGGGGAGAAGAGATCATAAACATGGCTTTAGAATAGTTGGTTGACCCAGACTAAGGCTGAACAAAATACACTTTTAACTCTGACTTATCTGGGGCTGGGTGATGGATAACCATAAAGTTTGTTTGCTGTAAATTGAAAGAAATATAGAATAAGATGTTTAAAAATACACAAGAAAATAAAAATTGAGTATGTGGTTCACAAAAATTTAACCTCAGTTTAACCTTATTTTTTATATCTAGAAGTTTTGGGTAGTTTCCAATATTTGAGAACCAACCAAGAGGCAGGCAGACTTATATGGCTTAATTTTGAAGCCCAAGTTTTATCAATATCAGTAACGTTCATTTAAATGTTAAGAATTATCACCTGAAAGATAAAATTAAAGTTTCAATTTAATCTCATTTTTACAAATGAGCCAAAGTATTGTTTCCTACATAAAAGTGTCTGTGATCTAACCTATGTTAATTTTTTACTGAAGTTATTTTCCTTTTGATAGGTAGTATTTAGGAAACCAACATGTGTTCCATGTGTAAAATACTTGGCACTTGAAATTGAGGATAAATGACCAAAAAAGCTTTTATAAACAGCTAAATTATCCATTTTCTATCACTTTTGAGGGCAAATATTTATGTAGAGCCATTGTGATTTCAGGGAGAAAAACTAAACCATCACGTCCAGATTCCCCAGCCACTACACCAAACATATCTGTGAAGAAGAAAAACAAAGATGGGAAGGGTAAGTACTACTCCTGTAGTTTCCTTATAATATTTATAGATCAAGTAACATTCAGAGTGCTCTAAAATATCTGCATACTGTAAGTAGAAACCACCAGATTTTATTGAAATGGATCTTATTGCTGCCCCATGCATAGTTACCACTTTCTGTAGAAATACTGGTAATAATGTAGCCCAAGAAATCCATTAGGATTTTCACTTCCCTGTCAAAATCGTCCATCCTTTCATTTAATAATGAGTCTCTTGGAAGAATTCAGCCACATTAGGTTTTCAGTGCACAGACACTTTATTACGGTGTCTTGGAGTTTTAATATTTTCATAACTGCTTCCCAAATTTGAAGAAAATTGTTAAGGCTAATCTGCTGGCTCTTAATATAAAAAGAACAACTATTGAAAGGTTTTTTACATTTCTTTTTCCTTTTCTTCTATGTAATAATGGTTCTTAAAGAGGCTGAAAGAAAATTTCTTACAATGCTTTCTCCCTAGGTCATCACAAATCTAATTGGCAGGATTGCTCTATTCAGATAACTTATGTGGGATTAATAAAAAGATCTATATTAGGCTCTAGAAATTATGACCATTATATCACCAGTACTAACTGAACTGTGTAACTTGTTTTATATAATTATAGGTGGAACTTATTAAGACCTTTAGTTGTGTTTATTGTGCTCTTTCAAATAAAGTTTTGGTTCAGTTAACAAGAAATTGCTTTTGTTTCAGGAAACACAATTTATCTTTGGGAGTTTTTACTGGCACTGCTCCAGGACAAAGCTACTTGTCCTAAATACATCAAATGGACTCAGCGAGAAAAAGGCATTTTTAAATTGGTAGATTCTAAAGCAGTATCCAGGTTGTGGGGGAAACACAAAAACAAACCTGACATGAATTATGAGACCATGGGAAGAGCTCTCAGGTATGTGAAATTTCTGTAGTTCATGGTGTGAAGAATATTGTTTCTTAAATACTAGAAAGCAGGTAAGTTCTAAAAAGTCAGAGGGTTTTCTTTAGAAATGGTGAATTTTACTATTGAAGTGCTAAAACCATACTACTTATAGAAGTGAGTATTTAAATTGAAATATTATTTCAGTCTGGGAAAATGTTCTCCTTCCCCCCAAAATCTTCATGCAAATAATGGATATTTTATTTATGAAGAGGTCAGAAAATGTTAAACTACCATCAGGCATTGTACATTGACCACAAGGCTCATATGTTTTGAGCCATTAAACTTAAATTCAGCACAAAATAACAAATGTTGGTATGCAGGTACTTAATAAGAGGGTGCATTTTTAAGCATGAACCTCAGCTATGATACATTATGTTGGAATAAATTAATGCTTCAAGAATAATATTAACCATCGTGAAAATGTTGAACAGAGATACCTCTTAAACTCACTTTTAGTTTGTTTTTCTTTGATAATGTCATTTAGTCGTCAAGATCTGGATATGTTTGAGAAAAACTTATTGGAAACAACCAGATCTGATAACTTGATAACGTTTTTAAACCAGAACTATTTAGTTATAATTTGCATTTTATTTCTTAGCTCACACTTTTTAGGTTCTTGATCTAATTAGAATCAGTGACAAAACTTGAATCATATCTATTTGTACATCATTAAGTTTTACACAGAAAATTGTTTCAGACTTACTGAATCAACATTAAAACAGGTAGGGACATTATAGTAAGCTATGGAAGAGAAAATAACTACCCTTCATTTAGAAATTCTTTTCTCACTTGTTTGTTTCCAACTTTAAACTCTTGTTTATGATTACAGAAATTTTGCTGTGTTGAATATTATTTTAGTTTGTGTTTAACCGACTACAGTATTGATAAAATTGTCTGTTTTGAATAGGTACTATTACCAAAGGGGTATTCTGGCAAAAGTAGAAGGTCAGCGCTTGGTGTATCAGTTTAAGGATATGCCGAAAGACCTTATTTATATAGATGACGAGGATCCAAGTTGCAGCATAGAGTCTTCAGATCCGTCACTGCCGTCAACAACCACTTCGAGTAGGAACCCAGCAAGTCGATCGAAAGCATCCTCAAGTCCAGGGATGAAAGGAGGAACCACTACAGTTCTCAAACCAGGGAATGCGAAAGCTGCAAAACCCAAAGATGCCATGGAAGCTGCGCAGCCGTCCGAGGCCCTGAGGACAGTACAGTCCACACAGACTCCGTACCCTACCCAGCTCTTCCGGACTATTCACGTGGTGCAGCCGGCACAAGCTGTTCCGGAAGCAGGAGCAGCCAGCAGCATGCCAGAGGAGACGATAAATCCTTCCGTTCCGAGTATTAGGTGAGAAAGCTAAAGGGACTGGTGCAGATCATTGTGTCATGTTCTGACAAGAGTCATTTTTGGTTCAATGCGTCGGGATTCAGAAGTGAAAATAAAAATGATATAGATTTCAAGCTAGAACTTTTGGTCAACAGATTGTTTCAGCAGCAAGGCATCAGTCCTCTGATTTTATCAGTGATTTGTTATTTTTAAACTTTGACAGCACTTGATGTGATTCTACCAATTTGAATCAGTCCTATATAGTTTTGTATAACTGATTGATTCATATAAGAAGAGATCCACATACAAGAAAATCCAGGGAATGGTTTCAGATCTTTTTGGGGACAAAGTTACAAGCTGTAAAAATATAACATACATTTACAGATAATGACACTTTGGGATGCATTGAGTTCTAAGAAATACGCATTATTCCTTGGGAAGATAACAGTCTTCTCAGATAGTATCCAGAATAGTCAAACAGGTAGGGAGGCCAGGAATCAAAGGTCCTCTTTTTCAGGTTTGTAGAGTGGCATAGTTGGAGGAATAGTTTTTTGGTTTAATCAAATAAAATCTGCCTCATTCCCCCAGAGATGACATATCTTAACAAAGTGTAACAACAACTTAGACTGTCTTATTTGCACAAACTTGTGGCTGGTTTTGACTGATTTAGAATGGGGATAAAAGAGGAAGGCAGAAAATTAAGTGGACATTTTCAGGGTTCTTTTTTTTAGTTTCTACTGCTGTGAATTTCCAGAACATGAATTACAAGAGCCCTTCCAAATCCAATAAATATGATTCTTTTGATTATTTTCATTAGCTGACTCCTGTGTTACAGTTGTATATTCTCTAGCATAAATGCTGGACTTTTATTCAGTTGATCTTGAAGTAAGCATTCAGTTCAGTTGCTCAGTCGTGTTTTAGTCTTTGTGACCCTATGAACCGCAGCACGCCAGGCCTCCCTGTCCATCACCAACTCCTGGAGTTTACTCAAACTCATGTCCATCGAGTCGGTGATGCCATCCAGCCATGTCATCCTCTGTCGTCCCCTTCTCCCCCTGCCCCACTGCCTTCCAGCATCAGGGTCTTTTCCAGTGAGTCAACTCTTCGCATCAGGTGGCCAAAGTATTGGAGTTTCAGCTTCAGCATCAGTCCTTCCAATGAACACCCAGGACTGATCTCCTTCAGGATGGACTGGTTGGATCTCCTTGCAGTCCAAGGGACTCTCAAGAGTCTCCTCCAACACCACAGTTCATAAGCATCAATTTTTTGGTGCTCAGATTTCTTCACAGTCCAACTCTCACATCCATACATGACCACTGGAAAAACCATAGCCTTGACTAGATGGACCTTTGTTGGCAAAGTAATGTCTCTGCTTTTTTTTTTTTTTTTCTTTGTCTCTGCTTTTTAATATGCCCTGTAGGTTGGTCAAAACTTTCCTTCCAAGGAGTAAGCGTCTTGATTTCATGGCTGCAATCACCATCTGTAGTGATTTTGGAGCCCCCCAAAATAAATCTGACAGTGTTTCCACTGTTTCCCCATCTGTTGCCCATGAATTACCTAGAATCAAAACAGACCTATTAGACCATTCAGTCTTCGTTGTACGCTCCATTAAACTTTTAATGAGTTTAAGAGAATTGAATTATCTTGAATTATTGACGTGTGAGGAGCGTAGGTCACATTTTTCCTATCTTAATTAAACAAGTACTTACTTAACTATGTTTTCCTTTTAATACTTTATTTTCCTCTTAAGTTCTGTTGGTTACTTACGATGACTGAATATCTAATTGGAATTATGTGGTTCCTCCCATTGGTTTCTAGGCTCTTTGTCTCCATTGTGTTTGTGTTGATGAGAAACATGCAGTGGCCACAGCGGATCACTGGGACTCCCTTCTTGGATGAATTCAGTTTTTTTTTTTTTTTAGCATCTTTGATCAAAGGTTCCTTTTTAGACCTTGAGAATAAAAACAAACCAGAAGAAAAACAACAATAACAAAAACACACAGCTCGAGCTCTGAAAGATAATAAATTATGGTATTATATTGGATACTTTATTACTTGAATGTCAGTTTCTGAATAAGACTCAGTGCCAGGTATTAAAGGGTTGTAATTAAAAAACTTCCTTCCTGTGATTTTCAAGCTGTCTTTGGTATACCTTTCAGAATCTTCATTTTTACATTCTCTGAGAGTTCTGTGGGCTTCCCTTGTGGCTCAGAAGGTAAAAAAGAGTTCTGTGGACTCTCTGCCTGATTCCTCTTTCTCCTGTTTTTTTCCTCCACCCTCCGTGTTACCGATGCCTCTCATTGTGTGATGTTTCTGGCCAGAGCCATCCTTTGTCTAATTGGTCAGGAGTTAGCACTCGTGGTGTTGACTTCTTGCAGCTTCTGTTAGGTCTCTTTTGCATACAGAGTGCTGTCCAGTTTGCGTAGCTTCCACTGCCAGCTCTGGCTCTGCTCAGAATTCCTTCCAGCTGAAGCTGACTGCTTGCCTATACCATGCTCCAGTACATAACCCAGGTTTTCAGGTAACTTTAATGCCTGTCTCCTGCTATCCATTTAAATCTGTAGAAGTTACCTTCTAGCCACTATCCTTTTTCCAGAACCTAACATAGTCTGACACAGAACACCCCATATTCATAGAATTTGTGTGGAAGTAGTATATATGATTATTCTTTATCTCCTTTTAGAATAAGGAGTTCTCTAAGTGGACTACTTATAAAATGAGCAAATATAAAATTTAATTAACTCTTCAAACTTTAAAACACAATTTTTTATTCTTTTTTTTTGATCATGTCTTGCGGCTCACAAGAGGGATCTTAGTTCCCTGACCAGGGATTGAACTAGGCCCATGGCAGTGGAAGTGTCAAGAACTAACCACTGGTCCACCAGAGAATTTCCAAAACACAGTTTCTTCCTGTAGAAGTTATTGTATATTTATATGACCATCTGTGTACCTACATCCATTTTTTAAATTGGGGTATAGTTGCTTTACAGTGTTGCATTAGTTTCTGTTGTACAGCAAAGTGAATCAGTTATATCCACATACATTCTTAATCATTTGTTTGATTTTAAAACAATTCCTCTCTCATTTGGTTGTATTTTATTTTCCTCCCACAAGTCCTACTTATTTTCACTGTAGTTATGCCAACTTTTAACTGTAGAAATTTCAAAATATGGAAGGGTCGAAATAGTACATTGAACACCTGTTTGCCATCCAGCTGGATTTACAATTGATATTTGGTTTTTTTGCCTTATTTGCTTTCTCTCAATATTTATTTATACCCTTTTTCTGTTTGTTTGGGTATTTGTCAAGTCAGTTGAAATCACCATGACATTTTACCCCTAAATATTTCAATGTATAACTCTTTTAAGAATACAGACATCCCAAGTAACCATATTATCACTCCTCAGAAAAGTTATAGAAATTTGACTATATCTTTCTTGACTAGTTTTTTAAAAAACCAAAGACCTTTGAAATATTTTTTTCTGTAGTTGAGAGAAGGTAGAATACTTATGACTTAAATTTAGATTAATTATTAAATTAGTGTAACAGGAACTGATAACTTTCAAAGCACTCTATATTGCATATACTTTACATATATTAAAGTATAGAATCCTTATTGCACAATGAGGTATAGGTAATATTCAGTATTCCTATTTTACAGTTGAGGAAACTGAGGCAAAGAGAGGCCAAGGAGCCTGGTCACAGGTGGAGATAGTGGTGGAGATAGTGTTTTAATGCAAGCAGTGTAGTCTGAAGCAGTGAACTTAGTGATCTGACATACTCTCGGTTAATTCACATGATCACAAGAATTATCACTTGTTTACCGAGAATTAGGAACATATTTCTTCTCTGTTTTTCCTTTGCTCGTTTCTTTTTATCTCACACAATTGCACATAGAATGATCATCCCTCAGTGTCCTCAGGGGATTATTTCCAGAACTCCCTTCAGACTCCAAAATCTGAGGGTGCCCCTTATGTAAAATGGCTAATATTAGTATATAACCTTCACATATCCTCCCGTATACTTCAAATCATCTCTGGATTACTTATAATACCTAATACAGTATAAATGCTATGTAAGTAGTTGCCAGCATGTGGCAGATCATTCAAGCTGTGTGATTTGGAACTTTCTGGAATTTTGGGGGAGGTGAGGCTGGATATTTTCACCTGGGGATATCCAGACTCACCTGGATATTTCTGGGGGAGGTTGGTGGAATCTGTGGATGTGGAGCCATGAGTATGGAAGGCCAACTGTGTCTATGTTGAAATTGATTAAACTTTTCTTAATTGATTTATGGTATATGTGTTCAGGTTTACAAATCTTAACTTTGGCTTCACAAAAATAAACCTCTAGTAAAGTATTTTCCTAAAATTGTCCCTTGGTAAACTTGGAAGTCCATATACCTACCCAGTATAACTTGTTTCTCTACAGTGTTTTTCCAAGCACTAAGTTTGTCTTCAGTTCAGTTCAGTTCAGTTCAGTTGCTCAGTCGTATCCGACTCTTTGCGACCCCATGAATCACAGCACGCCAGGCCTCCCTGTCCATCACCAACTCCCGGAGTTTACTCAAACTCATGTCCATCGAGTCGGTGATGTGTCTTAGGGTCTTTTAAATAAATTAGCCTCTAAAAATATCAATATATAATGTATAAGTTACTTTAAAAACAATCTAATGGAGTAGGAAGAATTTGGGCATAAAATTCTCGCCCTACAACCCTTGTCAATTATTAGATATGACATTGGATTACATTAACCAACTATTCTGTTTCCTCATCTATAAAATGAAGATGATATTATTTAACCTGACAGGTGGTTCTAACAATTAAATGACACTTCCTGACAGCTGAGTAGATATTCAGCAAAAGCCAAATATTATATTGTATGTCTTTCTTAGCTTCAGAAAGTTTGAAGAACTTTAAATAACCAATATTGTACCAGTTGGTTACAAGCAGCTTGGGCTTTTTAAAAGTAGTTAACTGTAATGTAACCTTTGTTGTGCAATATAATTATAACCAGATACAACTGACAGTTTAATAATTAACTAAGAAAAAAATTATGCTAATTCCTGTGGTTGGGAAAAGGCTGCATAATATTTAATCCTTTAATCTCTGAATTTTTTATTAGTGAAAATTTATTGTTTTATAATTTGTTCAAATAGCCAGTATATTTACACTGCAGGTATTTTAGGTCAGTATATATATTTTCTGGCAGATGGCAGTCAGAAGCCCAGGAAAGGGCCATCTCTTTCTGACTTCAGTAAAAGGCATTGAATGTCTCATGGTAGCCCTGATTAGCAACATGGACCTTTTCCAAGTACATTATTGCTCACAAAGAGTTGGACATGACTGAACTACTGAACTGAACTGATATCATACCTGAGAGAGGGAAAGAGAAAGGGGTGTGTGGGTGTATAACTCCCTACTGTTTAAAACTCTAATGCTAAGTATCCCTCTTCACTTGAAGTTATTCAGTACTTAAGTGACAGTGTGCTGTAATGGTTAAGCACACAGGCTCTGTAGTTGACCGATCCCTTTTCTTATCTAACTGCTCACCTTATGTGAGCTGTTCAGCTTCTTTCTGCATTAATTTTTTTCATGTGGAAAATTGTGATAATAATTCTTATTGGGTGGCCAGGCTATACATATTTATAGATACATTCTGTATGCTTTCTATGTGCCAAATTCTATTTTATCTGTATGTATGTGTACATGAGCTCTTGGCATGGGAAGCTCTTGGATCTTTTTTACTTAAAAAATGGTATCATTCTGTAGGGTCAGCTACCATTTACAGGCTTAGATTCTACCCAGGATGTCCTGATTTTAAGCAGGCAGGGAAAAAGGGAGGTACAGTGTATTTTGGACAAGTGCCCTAGTTCCCCAAGTTATTCTATATCCTTCCAACTCATCACTGCCTGCCCAGTTGTATTAGTATATCTGGCCTTTATTCCTAGCCATACCCTGCCAACCTAGTAAATCTTCATTACCTGACTCATATTCTCTTCTAGCAGTGTCCTTCAGAAGGGCTGCTGACATCCTGCCGTGGACTGGTTCTCACAGTGGTCACTGTGGTGACAAATGGAACTTGAGAAACAGTATCCTGCATGTGTGGGTGTGGGCTCCAGCTAGCCTGTGTCTTTCTGCTTCCTCTTAATGTCTCCTGAGTTGTACTCAGTCATCTTCTACCTTACCCATTTGGTTTCTGCTCTAGAATTTCATTTTTCACATGAGACAGGCCACATAACTGTAACTTGATAAAATTTACCTGTGATAGTCTCCTGGCAATAATTAACATTTCGTTTATGGGGACTAATCCGGCTCTTAGCCATTTAAAATAGCAATCCTCTCTCTTTTGTAAAATAGCTTTATAGAATGCAGAGGAAACACAGTTGAGATCCAGATGCTGAGTCTGTTCAACAACATTTGTTTTGTATTGACAATAGCCATGAGTATAAATTTCATAGCTGTGAACTTTAAAAATTAGATTGACTTATAATACCATTTATGTACCTCTTTTCTTCAATAAATAGAATTAACAATTTATACAAACTGGATTTTATGTTAAAATTGTACCTTTATGATTAAAATTTTTGCAAATTACTTGAGCTGAGAAAACACATCTCTAAAACAACCTTTGTTTATTTTTGCCAAGATTTGCCCTTACCTTTTGTTCTCTCTGCCATCCTAAAGAACCCTCATGAGTTAATTATATTCATGACTTGTTTTATGTAATATGAGCCGTGAATTATTAAAATTCTTCTAATAATTCTATCACATATATGTTTAAGGTTGAACTATTGTTTAATTTTAGTTAATTGAGTGCTTTCTCTATATAATAGAAAAGTGAAGTCGCTCAGTCGTGTCTGACTCTTTGCGACCCCATGGACTGTAGCCTGCCACGCTCCTTCGTCCATGGAATTTTCCAGGCAAGAATACTGCAGTGGGTTGCCATTTCCTTCTCCAGGGGATCTTCCCGACCCAGGGATCGAACCCGGATCTCCCACACTGCAGGCAGACTCTTTACCGTCTGAGCCAAAACAGGTCGAAAACAATTATAATCATGTGAAGTTTTGTAATTTGGTTGGACTTACAGATGACATTATCCCTCAAATATTAAAATGATAGTGAATCCAATATTTGTTTAAAAATTCCTAATTTTCGAAAATTACCTGGCAGTCCAGTGGTTAGGGCTCTGCATTTTGCCAAAGGCCGGAACTGATCCCTGGTCAGGTTACTAAGATCCCGTAAGCTGCATGGTTCAGCACAAAAAATATATATAGCTAGATAGATATGTATATATATACATATCTATATATTACTAATTTTCTGTCAGGCAGCTTATGTGTAACTTCCTTGGGAAACATTTTGATACCCTCCTTCAACAAAAAATTGATTCCCCATTTGTGTTAATGTAGTGCTTTATACAGACTGTTTTTTTCACAGATGGCATTATAGTTAATGGACTGAGAATTTTTTGTTGGCCATTTCTGTATGTGCAGTGTTTAATGCTGGGTCTGGCACAGTGTTTTCGTTGCGTTGGAAATAAAGGGAAGGAGCATTTGAAATGAATAACTCATGTTTTGTTCAAGTGACTTGTCAAGTGTTTTCAACAATGTAGAATATGCTTCTTTCCTCACTTTTATTTCGTAATCTCAATAGGACCATACAGACTCCAGCCCAAGTTCCAGTGGTGGTATCTCCTGGGAATCAGCATTTGCACACGGTAACACTCCAGACAGTGCCGATCACAACAGTGATAGCCAGCGCAGACCCGTCGTCAGCTGCTGGATCTCAGAAATTCATCTTACAAGCCATCCCATCCTCACAGCCCATGACAGTCCTCAAAGAAAACGTGGTGCTGCAGCCTCAGAAGCCGGGCTCCCCGCCCTCCATCGTCCTGAGTCCTGCCCACGTGCAGCAGGTCCTCACCAGCAGCATCCCGACTGTCTGCAACGGAGCCGTCAGCGCGGCTTCGTCTCCGCCCTTCAGCGCCACCACGCCCATGGCGACCTTTTCTCAGCACAGTTCACAGCTGGTTGCTCACCCACCTGGCACTGTAATCACTTCAGTTATCAAGGCTCAAGAGGCAAAGACTCACATACAGGAAGAAGTGAAAATGGAGGCTGGAGAGGCTGTGAAAGAAGGCGCGGAGCACCCCGAGCCGCAGCCACAGCCTTACGTGATGGTGGTCTCCAATGGGTTTCCTTCGCAGGTAGCTATAAAAAACGAACTGCTGGAACCCAGCTCCTTCTGAGGAATACGCCAAAGGAATTACAGATGGTTGTTGTTTAACTGAACATTTTTGATTGTCTGCAAACTATTGATTCTAAGATAAATCCTCCACACCGTTCCTCATTTTGTAGTTACTTGTTAAAAGCTAGTAACAGTTAATTTTGACTTTGGTAGATGAGGGGGGAAAACCCAAATGCTTCTGTTTGTCCTCCAGAAGTTTCAGAATTCAGTTGTGAAGGAACAGGCGTTTTATACTATGAAGACATTCTTTTGAGATTTTTTTCAGTGGTTATATCATAAGCATTTTACAAGCACCATTTTAAATTTTATATTGCATTAGCTTTTCTGATTCTTTTGTAAACACAATACTTAAATGTAAGACATCAGGAAATTTATATAGGAGCTGTTTTCATTCCACTGTATCAAAGGTTAAGTCTTGACTCTCTGAAATCCAAGACACCTATTTTATGCTTTGTTAAAATTATGATTTCACTTAGATTGACTTTAGTTTGTTGCACTGTATGTTGAGCTATGCCTATGTAAAATATAACTTCAAAAATTGAAATGTCCCCATGATAGGGCTAAACCTGTTTCAGAAGCAGGATAATAGAAAAGCATCAGCCTAAGAGTGGTTCTCCTGCTGACTAGCTCTGTAACCTTGGGCAAGCCACTTGATCTTCTGGGCCTCCTAAGAGGAATGGTGTATTGGATTAGACTCCAACTCCTATCTAATTCCTATCTAGTTCTCCAATTTCCCATCTAGTTCTAAATTTTATGATTCTAACTCCTATCTTTTCTCAATTTATCAGATTTATCAATTTATCAAAGTTAGTATCAATTAAAACATTATCAGCTTATCTCCTAATGTAAATATAACTAAAATACTACAGAAAATTAATGGCCCTACAAAATTCATTTTTCTATTATCTGTAAGACCTGCTATGAACCTGATTTCTTCCTAAATTGTTTGTTCATTAACTCTTTAGGCCCCTGTGCACTGTGATCCACTAGTAAACTTACGTTGCTGAGTGCTAAATGATATACTGCTATTCTGAAAGAGTCAGGGCTCTTTAAGGGCCCAGAAAGCAACCAAGCCTTGGCTAATCTGACTGAGTAGTCAGTTGCTATAAAACTGTAGTTGCTTTATATTTTGGATCTTTTTTTTATTGGGAGTGGGGGAGGGGGAATTACATACAAAGATAATATACATTATATATCCATGTTTCTAGATTACTTTTTAGATTACTTTTTCATCTGTAAATAATGTACATTTAACTTCACAAGAAAAATTGTTTCTTGCAATTTTTTAGTATAGCAAAAAGTAATTTTTGTAGATGAAAAAATCATTATGTTTAGAGGTCTAATGTTATATGTTTTCATATTACAGAGTGAATTTGTATTTAAACAAAAATTTAAATTTTGGAATCCTCTAAACATTTTTGTATCTTTAATTGGTTTATTATTAAATAAATCATGTAAAAATTCTGTGTTTTTTGTTTTCAAGCAAGTGTTTCTTAATAGAAAATCTTACTAGTATTACAATGCTACTAAATGTTTATATAATAGCTTCCATTAGTCAGATAAGACTTGCAGAATGTTATCTTCTCAGTTTTCCTTTCTACAATGCCAAATGGCAGTTTCCAGACATGACACCATGGATTACCAGGCCCCAAAAATTAGAAAATAAAATATTCCCAGCAATAATATTAAACACACTTAAAAAAACAAGTTTTCTAGTTAGAAATTAGATCAGCTAATTGTTAAACTCAGAAAACATAGAAACAGAAAAATGTAAGAAAATGAAAATCTTAATCCAATACCTCTATACCTTGTAGTAACTTCCATGTATTCATTTCTTCATGTCACTTAATATGTTTCTGAAATATGGTTTTGAAAGGAGCATTCTTATCTCTGAAGATGGAAGCAGAGAAAAATGTGAAGGAGCAGGCCTCACTCGTTTTCTTATTTACTACCCTTAGTTTATACCCTTCTGTTCCACTGTTTTTCTACAACTCTCCATTCTTCATCAAACCTAGTATATATATGTGTGTATTGGGGAGATGGGTGATCAAAGTGTATATGTGTGTGTGTGTGTGTGTGTGTGTGTATGCTTTCTTCTATTCTTTTCCATTGTGCTGTGTCACAGAATATTGAAAATACTTCCCTATGCTGTACGTTGCGAGCTGGTCGTTTATCCATCCTATAATGGGTAGCTTGCCTCTGTTAATCCCAGACTGCCACTCCTCTCCTCCCCTACTCCCCTCCCCCTTGGTAACCACTAGTCTGTCTTCTGTGAGTCTGATTTTGTTCTGTAGATGTTGATTTCTACCATATTTTAGATTTGACATACAAGCGATATGATAAGGTACTTGTCTTTCTCTTTTTGACTGACTTTGGTTACTATGGCAATCTTTCAGTCCATCCATGTTGTTGCAAATGGCATTATTTCATTCTTTTTGATGGCTAATATTCCATTGTATATATGTACCCCATCTTCTTTATCCCTTCATATGTTGATGGACATTTAGTCCATTCATTCTTAACCCTCTGTAGTAGTTCATTTGCCCTATTACCCTGAAATTACTGTTGCAAAGGTCACTAAATAGCCATCAATTTCCATATTGCCAAATTCTCTTTTTTGACCTTTCCAGTATTTGATAACCTTTTAAAATTCATTGTTTCTTCAAGTCTCTATTGCCTTTACTTTTGTGCCTGACTCTTTCCTGTCCTCTTCTTACCTTTATAATCATTTCTTAGTGCTGCTCTTGGGCTGCTCCAGAAACTCAAAGGCTGGAGTTCTCCCCAGTTTTATCTAAAGGTCACTGTTCTCCTTCTCTGTGTCTTCACCTTGTCCCCCTTCAATGCATTCTTCTCCAGTGCAACAGGTGAACATATTAATAGATAGATAGAAATAGATATATATTTAATTATACTTAGCCATTCAGTGGTTCCTTATAGTCCTCAGGTGGAGTTGAGGGCCTGCATGGTCTCACCTTTTTTTTTTTTACCCCATTGGTCTCAGCTCTTCTGGATCCCACTAGCAGTATCTTCAAATTTTACTCTCCAAATCATACCGTCAGGTAGGTTGGGATGCTTTCAATTGCAAGGAACAAAAAACCCTATTCAAAATTATTAAACAATACAAAACTAGTTAGGAGGTTTCCAAGTTGGCTAATTCAGGAGCACAGTATTGATCCTGAGCAACCGGCTTTCCTTCCCTCTTTCTGCTTTACCATCCTCAGTATTTTGGTTTTGCTTTCAGAATGGCTCCTGCCATGGATGCAAGATATCTACAGTAGTTCCTCTGTGTTTCTGTTTATCAGTAAGGAAACCTTCCCAGAGCACCTGAGCAGCCATTTTTTCAGAACTAGATTGCTCATATACTCCTTCCTAAGGCTGACCATGGCTGGCCAAGGATGCAGGATTACCATGGATGATTTAGTCAATGTGTTGGGGAGATAGGCAGTCAAGCAAAAGTGGGCTCCACAGCAAGGAATAAGAGAGGAATGATAGAGCCCATATATGTACTTCCAAAAATGCTCACACCTACAGGAAACATACTTTCTCTCATGTTTCCTGCAGCTGTGAGATCAGCCGAAGTCTCATCCAGTTACTTGACCCAGTTTCATGACTGGGATCTCTTGAGGTGGTGCAGTCCTCTTTTTCAGATCAGCTGTGGCTCCCGGGTTTCTTCTCCTCCACAGCCACACCTAGTATGAGCACTGGGGAGAAATCTCTTTCCAAGGCTTCTCAGCTTTAGATACATTTCTTGATGGTGTAAGCTTGATGTCCTATCTCAGGGTCACCCTTTCCCCTTGTGTGTTGTGTCTTCCGTGTCCCCCATCCTGCCTCTTTCATCTGCCTTGTTATACATACCAGAATCTGTTCTGTAGCATCACACTTCTGAACACCAAACTGTCAGTTTAGGTTCCTGGTCTTTAGCAACAGAGATGGATTGTGGTTTTCAGCATAAAATAAACTTTATTAGAAGAATATTGTGCAGGTCACAATAGAAAGACTGGAGAATCGGGGTCAAACTGAGCCACACAGCTAAGAACCAATCAGAAAACTGTACTGCACAACTGGGCTGCCTGCAGCCACTGTTGGCAAAGCACCCGAACACTGAACTCTGTACCACTGTCTCTACGGCTTCAGAAATCTGATCTTGGAACAAGCGCTGCTTCATCCGGAGAGAATGAGCAAGTCCTTTCTTGACTCCTTGTGTTAACTACCAATTTGTGTGATTGGCTACCCCAAAGAATGGCTGATACACTCTATCATGGCAGACCCAGATTTCTGTGGGATACACAGCTTGGTGATTGGATGGGTGAGGGGGACTTAATTTAGGGAAAACAGAGAATCAGAACACGAAATCGGAGGGTCTGAAGGGGCTGTAGCTCTCCACTCTGAGTGCTCCCTTTCCTCTCTGGGCGTCTGCACCTGCGTCACCTGCTTGGTACAGTTGCTCTCATTCTATTCTGCCAACACCCGTCTGTTCTTCAGGCCTCAGCTTAGATGTTACTTCCTCTGAGCGCTTTCTCTGAGTTCTTCAAAATTCCCCGTTACTGTCATAGAGCCCTTTATTTTTTATTGTTAAAATATAATTTTAGCCACACAATGCAGTTTGAGGGATCTTATTTCCCCAACCAGGGATTGAATCCAGGCCCCCAACAGGGAAGCATGGAGTCCTAACCACTGGGCCACCAGAGAATTCCGAGAGAGCCCTTTAATTTCTCTCACTTGGGCAGATTATACTATAATAGTTGACTGGTGATATGTATGATTTCAACACTACATTATAAAAAGTCAAGACTGTAGTCATTTTAGTACCCACCTGGTCTCTAGCATAGTATCTCCAAATAGTAGGTACTCAGTATTTATTAAATACATGACTAAGCTACATGTTCTTATCTATTTTCATGTTTATGTTCTCAAGCTGCTAACCACCATCTATGTGCCTATGACTGTTCTTACCTGTAGCTCCAAACTTGTTTTATAGTTTTTGAGCTATAATTTACATACAATAAATGGCACATATTTAAATAGAGTATAAACTCATGAAATCATCACTAATCGAGTAGTGAAACTACTTATGTTCAGTGAACACTACCCTAAAATTTTCTTGTGCCCGTTTGTAACCAATCCCTTCCTGCTGATCTGCTGTCTCTGTAGATTAGTTTGCATTTTCTAGGATTTTATGTAAATAGAATCATATAGTATGAGTTTTTTTTGGTCTGGCTTGTTTCACTTAGCATAATTATTTTCAGGTTCATGGATGTTGTAGTCTGTATCAGCATATTATTTCTTTTATTGCTGAGTATTTTATTCTATATTACATGGATATACTGCAGTGTATCCGTTCATCTGTAAATGGACGTTTGGGTTGTTTCTGGTTTTCAGCTATTATCATTAAAGCTGTTATGAATATTCCTGTACAAATCTTTACAGTGGATATGTATTTTCATATCTTTTAGACAAGCATCTAGGAGTGGCCTGTCTATATCATATGATGGTTGTACCATCTTACATTCCTACCAGCAGTATATGAGGCTTTCAGTTGCTCTACATTTTCTTCTACATGGTCTTTTATATTTTTGCCTTTTTAATGGGTGTGTAGTTATATCTCATTGTGGTTTTGATTTATATTTCTCTAATGACTAATAATTTTGAGAAATTTTCATCAACTTATTTGGTATCTATGTATCTTCTTTGATGACTTGGTTGGTCAGTTTTCTTGCCCATTTAAAAATTCTGTTGTTTTCTTATCACTGAGTTTTGAAAATCTATTCTGAATACAAGCTCTTCATCAGATATATGACTTGCAAGTATCTTCGAAGTACAGAAACTTTTAAATTTTGGTAAAGTCTCATATCAACTTCTTTTATGGATCATGCTTTTGGTGTTGTGTTTAAGAAATTGTTGTTTAACCCAAGGACACAGAAATGTTTTAACATGTTTTACAGTTTTAACATTTAGGTCCATAATACATTTTGTTAGTTTTTGTAGATGATGCAAGGTATGAATTGAAGTTCACTTTTTTTCCTTTTTCTATCAAATTTGTTGAAAAGATCATCCTTTTCAATTGAAAAGTCCGAGAAGACTAACTTATTTAACTATCTTTTCTGCCCTGAATTATCTTTGGACCTTTGTTGCAAATCATTTGTATATATTCATATGAGTCTACTTAGGGACTCTCTTTTCTTTCCTATTGATTTGTCTGTCTTTGTACCAATACACAAAGTGGATGTATTGAAATCAGCTAGTGTTAGTTCTCCAACCCTGTTATTTGGCCATTCTGAGTCTTTTACATCTCCATTTGAATTTCAGAATCAGTTTGTCAACTTACAAAATGGAAAAAGTCTTTGAGATTTTGACTGAGATCAGGTTGAATCAATAGATCAATTTGGGAAGACCTGACATTTTAATACTGAGTCTCACATTCATATTTCTCCATTTGTTTGTGTTCTTTGATATCTCTCAGCAACATTTTG